TTAAATATAAAATGCAGTACTATATATAAACAAATAAATAATATATAATAAAAAATATGAAGTATAAATAATAATAAAAAGAAGTATATATAATAAAATATTTAATTTAAAAGTAATAAGTTGTAAGAATCATTGTTATGGAATCGTTTTTATAAAAATTTACTCCACAAACAAAAATCTTTCAAGTTTTTCGCATTCAAAATCTAAATAGATAAATAAATAGATAATAAAGTAAATTGAATAAAATAATAAAGTATATAAATAAATATTATGAAGTATATAGTTAAGTAATGAAGTATGGTTACTTCATATATAATAAAGTAAAATATATAAATTAATAAAATAAATAATGTATAAATAAATAAATAATACATAAATAAATAATAAAGTTAGTATGTAAATGAATAAATGTAAATGTAATAAATAATAAGCATGTAATAAATATAAACATAATATGTAATTAGGTAGGAGTAAATAAATGAAAAAAATGTAAATATTGATAATAAATGTAAGTATAAATATCTTAGATAAATAATAAAAATGTAAATGAAAAGGAAATGTAAGTGTAAATGTAATATAAAAATTAAAAAATATAAAATGAATAAATAAATAAATGTAAATGGATAAAGAAATAACAATGTAAATGTGATAAAAACTTAAATAATAAATATAAAGGTAATAAATAAATTATAAAGTAAATGTAATGAATAAAAATGGAAATGTAAATGTGGATGCTTTTTTAATAAAGAAATGTAAATGTAAAAAGACAATGTAAATAGGAATTTAAATGAAATAAATGTAAATGTAGACACATAAAAATATAGAATATAAATGTAATAAAAAATGAATAACAAATGCACATGCATGAATAAATAAATGTAATAATATATATGAAATGAAAGTAATATGAATGTAATAAATAAATGTAAAGTATGTATAAAAAAAAGTATATACATAAATAATAAAGCACTACACAAATAAATAAAGTACATAATTAAAAATAAAATGCAGTAAATATATAAACAAATAATAATATATAAATAAATAATGAAGTATAAATAAATAATAAAAAGAAGTATATATAATAAAATATTTAAATAGTAATAAGTTGTAAGAATCATTTTTATAAAAATTTACTTCACAAAACAAAAATCTTTCAAGTTTATTATGTGTTTGTGTATATAAAATTATCTGTAAAATTATTAAATAAACAACTCACAAACCTTTAATGCCAGTGTGCACAATTTTATGCTTAGCTAAATCCTCTTTCCTCATGAAGGTCTTATCACACTCATCGCACTCCAAAGGCTTTTCACCTTCATGGATAAACCTTTCGTGAAGACGAAGTCTGAAATCACAAACATAACATAAAATATATACTTATACATAAAATCATACAAATTTTATTATCCTTACCTGCTTTTTCTATTGAATGCTTTCCCACAGACCTGGCAAACATATCCGTGTTCACCTGTATGATGGAAAAGATGAGCCCTTAATTGAGTCGATTGAATAAATGTCTTTCCACAATAGTCACACTTGAAAGGCTTATCCATAGTATGTGTTTTTAAATGCCTGTTGAGAGTCTCTTTAGCCCCAAACCGATTGTGACACTAGATAAAAAAAAAAAATGGTTTAATAAAAAATATATAAATCATGTACAGTGCAAAGAATATTTATTCAGAATACAATTTAAATCTTGTTGATGCATTTATATATATTTACCTAACGAGCAATCCAAAAACAATTGTCCAAACTATCAGCATGTAATAATAAATCATACAAATTTTTATATTAATAATTGGCAAAGAGGAAAATATAGAAAAGTACAATTGTAAAAAAAATGGTAAAACAAAAAAAAATCAACTTGCACATTTTTACAGATTTGATTTAAATGAATATTTTTGCAACCTTAAAATTGATCTTTATCAGATTTTAAAAAATCTGTTTTGAATGAATATTTTTGCAATATTTAAGTTTTACTATCAAATTTAAAAAAATTTATATCAATGAATATTTTTTAATAAATTTTCTATCACACCTTTACAAACTTAAGTTTTTAATGAACATCTTTGTAAAGTTTTAGCACATTTTCGCTTCGTTTTTAATAAATATTTTCAAAATGTTTAATATTTCCTGTCACATTTTAAATTTATGTTATAAATGAATATTTTTTATCGCACTTTTAAAAATATTAAAGTTTTAAATAAATATTTTTGCAAAAATTAATAAATTTAATTTAAAGAAATTTGCAGTTTTTATCTATTACATGTTTAATTTTAATTTATCAAATGTTTAGCTAACTAATTACTATCATTACACTACTTCTCATAGGCCTATAATATTTTAAGGGTTTCAGGACAACTATCAATTATACTACCATGCAAACTTTGTATAAAATTTGGTAGAAAAACAATTAAAACATTAACAATCCTTATTAAGAACACTTTTGTTAAATTGTGATAGAAAATAATAAAAAATTGCAATAATATTCATAGCCTAAATGGTCACCAGGTTCAGCCTTAAAATAAATTTGAAAAAAAAAAATGAAATGACTTTGTAGAAGAATTAATAAAAAATACAAAAATGTTCATTAAAAATTTATAAATTTGTACATGCCACATGTCCATCTTAAAAAAAATCATTGAAAACTTTCAAAGTTGTAAAAATGTGGTAGGAAAAAAACTAAAATTGTATAAATATTCATTAAAAGTTTATAAACTTGTAAAATTGTGATAGAATTTTTTTTTAATTAAAAATTATTCATAGAATTCATTAAATTTGTAAAAATAACCACAGAACTATTAGCACACCTACAGAGAACATGTTGTAGATAAGTTATTATAATTCAAACATTTCTCATAAGCCTATAATATTTGAAGAATTTATTACAACATTATCAAAGAATGTTTTATCAAATTCCCAGGAAAGTAACCAGTAGATTCTCCTTGAAAACCAAAACAAAAATAAATACTTACCATTTCACATTCGTAAGGGCGCTCTCCTGTGTGTGTCCTCATGTGTTTCTTCAAAGCATTCGACGAGGAGAACTCTTTATCACAATCTTCAACTGTGCAAGGGAATGGACGCTCACCTTAAAGTAAAAAGCATAATTAAATTAATTTATAAGATACAAAATATAAATATATTATCTTTCTTTCTATAATGTATTATTTTTTTATTATTACCAGTGTGTGTCCGGACATGTACATTGTAGACAGTCGTGCCAAAGAATATCCTGTTGCAGTACTCGCATTTGTGTTGCTTTTTTGGCTTTGCTTCACCCATATGTGCCCTTAGGTGCTCTCGTAAGTTGTCTTTTCTTGAGAACTCACGACCACAAACCTAGACAATAATAATTTCATAATAAAAGTATGGTTGCAATTGCAGCTAAGAAAGCTTTTCTTTGATTTTGTTATAAAAGTAAATTTTAGTTTCAAGTGTTGACAAATTTTAAAAACTAACATGTCTCTTGACTATTTTACAAGATGCTTTATATCTAGTTTATTTAATATGATATTAAATATATATATATTATTAAAAGGTTCCTAAAGTTCACAATAAATGTGTATATATGTAAATTGTATAAACAATGTCAATTTGTTAAAGATAATTTAATTTATTAAAGAATTATATTAATTATATTTGAAACATCACAAATGTGCTAAAATCAATATAAATTAATAGAATAATTATTGAAAATATCAATGCTTTAAAAGAAGGTGTTAAAATTTAAAGTATACAAAATTTTATACAAAAAATTAATTTATGAAAAATATTGAAACAAAGTAAAAAGTATGAATATTAATATACAATAAAATGATAAAATTTAATAGGTAACATAATAAATAATTCTATTATAAACAATATAAAAAATATTAATATAAAAATTAACAGATTTAATTAAAAATATCAAGTCAAGTATAATATTAAAAGAAATGTTTAAAATTAACATTAAATTAAAATGAGAAATGTGATAAAATGAGATGCAAGAAATAAATTGTCATATTAATGAGTAACAACAAATTAAAATATCGATTATTTAAAATATTGAAAATATATAAAATGTTAAAATTTAATAATAAGAATTAAATATTTAACAGAATAAAAAAATGACAAAACATGCAAAAAAATTATTCAAATTTAATGAACATGATAATTTGTTTAAAAATTAATAAATTCAGTTCAAATGCATAAAAAATATTAAAACAAAGCAAATATACAAAAAATAATAATAAAATTAAACAGTATTAAAATTATTAATAAGCATACAAAAAAATGAAAACCAAAAAACATTAAGTCTAATGAAATTAAACAAGTAAAAAACAAATAAAAAATTAAAAAAATAAAATGATTTACAATATTATAAATATTAGTAAAATACTCTGAAATAAATTAATTTCATTACAATTAAACGAAAAGAATGAAAAGTAACAAAATAAAAGTATTATTAGAAATATATGAATAAATGTTAAAATTCAACAAAAACTTTGAATAAAATTTAGTAGAATAAATAAAAAAAAGTATCCAATATATGAGAATGTACAAAAATGTTTAAATTCATTAAGGTTTTAATAAAAATCATTGCATAAGTTAGAAAATAAAAAGATGGAGAAGAGTGTCAATTTGTTGACATTTCATAAAAATTCAATAAATCTTAATATATAATCGATAATAAATATTAAATTGAAATTTAATAACCAGCACTATTAAAATTAACAAAGTGGTAAGGTTTATTGAAAGTAAATCATTCAAAAAGTATTAAAAATGTCTATGATATAAAAAAGGTTAAAATTAAGAAAAAAAAAACATTGAAACAACCAAATTAAATCTAAATAGTTTTAAAACAATTAAAATGTAGCATAAAGAATAACTAAAACTAAATATACAAAGAATTATTGAAATTTTATAAAGATATTAAAAACTTTATCATAATCTAAAATCCAATAGTTTAAATTTGCATTAGAAGTTTCACTTCACAAACAATGCAGACTCGAACAAACATGATATAAAAAAAAACTATTTTACATTTAACCCTTACCTCACATGGAAGACTTAACCTAGGTGTTCCATTACACCCAGTCTGCTGCAAATGCCTATCCAAGTGATACTTCCTAGTGAAAGTCTTTTCACACTGCGGACAAACAAACAGAGCCCCTTTTCCTACACCATGATCCATGGCTCTATGTCTATTCAGAGTCGACTGATCTTTGCAGGTGCAAGAGCACTCAGGACACCCATAAGTTGGAATGACAGCATGCAGATTTGCAATGTGCTTTTCAAGACTTGAATTTGTTGTGAAGGTTTTGGGACACATGAAGCACTCATGGGGACCATTCTAGATAAAATATTAAAATTAGTAACAAAATGTGATAATGTTATATCATGTGTGTACATTATTACTTTGTGTTGTTTTTTAGGCAAGTCTCCACAGCAAAAGCAAGGTTCATCCGTAATTGGATCATCATTTTCGTCATCTTCTTCAACACAAAGCAAATCATATTCGGTAATCCCTTCAGTGCCACCAGCAATGGGGCTACAATTGTGTTTGAAGATTTTAAGCGAGTCTCGATTGATAAAGGTTTGCCTGTACAGAACCTTATGTGTCTTTTTACACCCTAAAATAGAAATGGTAATAGTAGTGGTAAATGATGGTAATAATTGCATTTTATTGTTTCAACTTATTTGCAACTTACTCTTGCAGAAACAAAAAAATTTTTCACTTTTTCCACTTGTCACCCTGTTGTCATCGGGAGCACTGGATGTTTCTTGAGACATCTTCATAAATGTATTTATTGCTGAAAATAATTGATTAGATAAGTAGATATTATTGTGTAATAATGCATTTCATGCGGTTTTAATAAATAACCAAAGTACAAGGCCAGAGCACGAATGTGCGGATGTGCACATATGTCACGTCCTATACTGAATAAATAGAGTAGTGATCGTCCATCAAAGGCAGTGATGTCTTAAGAGAGAGTCTAGCCAAGTGATAATGTCTTGAGAGTAGTCTTAGATATCTTAAGTGGAGATTATGTTTGTTAATTAAAAGAATTAAATACAGTGTATCATACTACAAGTGGATTTTATATTGGAAGCCAGAAGTCTATCTCTTTCAGCAAATACCTCACTGAAAGGCCCACTATTCTGAAGAGATCTATTATCAAACCAGTAAATCAAACATTACTCCTACTGCTCGACCCAAGGAACCAGAACGAGTTATTACTATTGGTCTGGAGCGTGGATCTACCAACATCGGACCTCCAACCCATACTTAAACCCTACTAATCAACAACTTATTTCATTTAAATATATTGACTGATAATTGATAAACCAGTTGACTTGAAATATAAACTTAATTGATTGCAATAGGTTATTATTGTTTCTAATTGTTCAATAATAACTCGTTTTTTATCTAAAGAAAAAAAGGCTCAGACATTTCTCATTGCCAATGATTGAGCTCATCATTCAACAAATCAGATTCCAATTTGCTTTAGAGTACAATCGTAAAAGTACTACAAAAAAAAAATTCCATTGCTATCTACATTTCACCAAAAATCAGCATGAGAGATTAAATTATTTGTAATAAACATATTTAATGCACAATGAACCAATACAGTTTTACAAATTCTGTTCACGATAAGTTAATGGTGAAGAAAAAGATTATTAGAATCCAGTGATCCTTGAAGATTCTTATGTGAATTTCTCGGAAACATTATTAATTTTTAAGACAAATTGGAGTTACAAATGGTAAATAGTAGGAATAATTGAACAACCAAAGGGGTACATGCTACTACTAAAGCAAGGAATATTTACAAAAACATTTGGCATCCTACTTCTGTTATCGTAGTCCCTGCTGTTATAACTGTACAGATTTGGGTATTTCTTCATTCAAAAATGGCTTTATCCAAAAATGTGTCAAGGTAGAAATGATTTAGCAATCGAAGGGAGCACCAACAACCATCAATAAGAATAGAAATCTCAGTACTTTCATGATCGTATTGTAAATGTTATAAATTTAAAAGAGATCAAAAAATCGAACTCACTTTCATGACCCTGTTGTAAATCTTATAAATTTGGATACTTCTGTATTCAAAAATGTAGTCGAAGATGCTCTCAACTGTAAATTGATGGACAGAAAACATTGTTAACCTTAAAGACTAATTAAAATTATAAATGGTAAATAGTAAGAATAAATCAACAACCAAAGGGGGTACATGATTCTACTCAAGCAAGATATATTTACAAAAACATTTGGCATCCTACATCTGTTATCGTAGTCCATACTGTTATAACTGCTACAGATTTGGGTATTTCTTCATTCAAAAATGGCTTTATCCAAAAATATGTCAAGGTAGAAATAATTCAGCAATCCAAGGGAGCACCAACAACCATCGGTGCAGAAGAAATATTGGCAAAATAGAAGTCTCAGTTCTTTCATGATCCTAATGTAAATGTTAGGAATGTGAAAGAGATCAAGAAATCAAACTCACATTCATGACCCTGTTGTAAATCTTATAAATTTGGATACTTCTGTATTCAAATATGTAGATAAAGATGCCCTCAATTGTTAATTGATGGATGGAGAACATTGTTAACCTTAAAGAATACTTAGAATTAAAAATGGTAAATAGTAAGAATAATTCAACAACCAAAAGAGGTACATGCTACTACTAAAGCAAGATATTTTTACAAAAACATTTGGCATCCTATTTCTGTTATCGTAGTCCCTACTGTTGTAAATGCTACACATTTAAGTATTTCTTCATTCAAAAATGTGTCATAAGATGCCATCAAGCCAATGTAGAAAAAATTCAACAACCAAAGGGGGCACCAATAACCATCGATGCACTCTTCTTTTATCTATGCATCGATGCATAAGAAATATTGGCAAAACAAAAATCAAACATACTTTCATGTAAATGTTATAATTTGGGATAAAGCTGTATTCAATGATAGTTAAAAGATGCCATCAACAGTAAATTGTTACAATGTCAACAAGTCTTGAATAAGCAATAAGAGTTAACTGAAAATCAATTATATACCTTCCACTACCGCAATTTCCACATTAAAATTTTCAACCCATCTTCACCCAGAGACTCCACTAACTAACACATATTTCACTTATCCTTAAATCAATATCATATTAAAAAACTTTGTTATGACTATTATCTTCCGCCATTACCTTGTTATCGTGTCCCCTGCCAACTGTCACCTGTTCCTCGAAGACATCGAAAAAGACTCTTTTCTCTCGAATTATAACTGCCAACCCCTTTCTCGAGACTGTTATGGATTGTCCAAATGTCTTGTAGTAAGTATTGTGTGCGTATTTCAGGATTAAATAGGAAAAAACACGCCCCTAATGTAGTGACAACCTATTGTACCAAAACGCCACGCCAAGGGTATATTTGCTAGGCGAGGAGAAAGCGGGTTGCCAGCTGCGGGATAAAGGAAATATATTTAATTTAATGAAAAATACAATTGAAAAGGTCTAAATACATATAAAAATGGGGCTCTTGTTGTCAAAAACAGATTACAAATGTATTTAGAAAGTCTTTTTGCTTAATTTTGAAAATTTTCGAGTATGTGTTCGATGTGAAGTTGCCTGATTGAGGTGACGTTTTGCTAAAGCACTTTTGGCGGTAAATTCAAATTCAAATTTTGAACTAATCTGGAAACACTTGATAAAAAACGTCTTAAGATTTCTAAAAAGCTTATTTAAAGTATGTAAATATTATACCTACATATATATAAAGCATATATGTTATATAATTAATATAATTTTGATAGTTTTTAAGAAAACTTGGTAATTTGAATACTTTTTTATGAAGATCCAGTAAAAAACAAATTATTTCCATATTTATATATACATAAATATTAACAAAGTCTAATAATCGAGCATAGCATCAATTAAAAACAATTTTCTTTTACATCCAAACGTTTCGGCTATAATCCTAGCCTTCACTCAGTAAAAAAATTATTTAATCTCAGTGTTAATTTTTACACCGAATGAAGGTTAGGTAAATATTAAACATTTCATTGATAATATACAATTTATATATGTATTTCATGTGTTGTCTAGATATAAATTATACTGATATAAATCCTATTAAATTTTAATACTTGTATATCAATTTATATACATAAAGTTTCCACATTTAGTATGTAAACAATTATTCACTTGTTTTAAACATATAAATAGTATATGTATATAAAAAATATGCTTTATTATTATATTATAAATATATTTATTCATTAATAATTAAATATAATTCTATTCTATAAACTAAAAAACAAGTACATACTTATAAAAATCAGTCTTACGTGCTTAATTTATATATTATCTGATTCTTTTACCATCTATTCGACATTCATATCAACTTCAGCCAACTTTGAGGCTTCTTGAACACTTATGGGGCACATACAAGGCACCATTTGTACATTATTATTATTGTTGGAATTCCTGTTGTCGTTGTTGAGTTGTCTAAAATCAAAGTTTTCCAAATTTTTTCCATTATCCTGGACTGCTAGAGTCTTTGGGACTCCAATGGCAGGGTCTGCTGAAGATATGTAGTGCTGGACCACTGACTTAAAAAATATAAATAAATATTTATAAACATAATTCCTGTTTAATAACTGTCACTTTATTTATATATATTTATCCATCTACTACCTGGCTTGGCATCAAGTCTTGGCTAGCCAAAAAGTCCAATTGCGTAGACAAGTCAACTGGTCTAGGAACCATAACACCAGGTTGTTGCTGTTGTTGCTGATCAACCAAGTCAACCAATTGATAACCAGAATCGACTAGCTGCTGCTGCTGGGGTTGCTGAATCAAAATTAAATTGCCTAGCGGTTGATTTGGTTGAACCTGGTTTGATGCTGGTTGTTGCTGTTGCTGTTGCTGTGGTGGTCGAGCGGTTGTTGGTGGTTGCTGGTTTATGGAGTTTTGGTTGCTCTAGAATAAAAGGCATATTAGATTTGGTTTTTGTAAAATGTATTGGCCAGATGTATTTTAAATAGTACAGTTGCAAGTCATGCGTTTTTACCTTTATTTATTATATATCTAGTAGCTTTAAAAACATGTGATTAATATGAATGATGTATAAGATAAATTTGTACAAAATTATCTAGTCTACGATAGAGACCCTACAGCAACTCAGTATACTCTAGAATTGTCATTGAATATTAGAATATATAATGCTTTAGTGATGTTACATTATTTTTAAATGTCATCTCTACCTCTTAAACCATTCGATAAAGATGAATGTCGTTTATGAAAAATTTGTCTAAAATTAAATAATCTACAAATTTTCCTAAAAATAAAGCCTTTCTAACAACTCGGTATACTCAAAAACATCAATTACTCACCACAATATCCTTTTTCTCATCCTCCTTAGTATCAATTTTCGACTGCGCCGCCTGAATTTCCACAACCGGTTCCGGTTTCTTCTGCTCAGCCTGGGTCACAACCACGGTTGTGGTTGTCGGTTTTTCCGGTTGTGGTTTGGACTGAACCGGTTGCAATACCGGTCTTGGAACCGGATACCAAGGCGGGTAGTTGTAACCATAGTAAGGATAAAATGGTTGTTGTGGGTACGGATATTGTTGTTGGTTGTTTAGTTGGTTGGATGGGTTGTAAATTTGGTTGGGGTGGTTGAAGTAACGGATTATGGGATAGGCGAAGGCTCGGTAGTGGTATATGGGTGGTGTCTCTGCTGGTGGTTTTCTGGAAAAGGAATAATAAAATTGTAAATTAAATTCATTAGCACATTTATTTTTCTCTTGTAACTTTTGAACAGTATGTGTAAAATGCATAAAATATTCGGCAAATTTGTGTAAAATTGAATAATCTACAACTTTTTCTAAGAACTTAAGATCCTACAGCCACTCGATATACTCGTAAATTCAAGTCAAAGATGGAACATAAGTATATTCTTGCAAGTCGTTTAAATGTATTTCTTTTAAAAAAATGTAAATCTTTTGTAACTTCTTAACCATTTGATTAATACGAATGATGTATATGGAAAATTTGTGCAAAATTAAATAACTTTGAAAACTTTCTATTATTATAAGACCCTGCAGCAACTCGGTATATTTTAAAATCACTTTCAAAACAAAAAATTATGCCCAAGTGCATTTTTCTATTACATGCCATGTAACTTGCAAACCATTCGATAAATATAAAAGATGTATCTAGTGAATTTATGAAAAACTAGCAAACCAGGCGAACTCGGTTTCACCACCAGATGGTTTCATTCCTTATCTATGGTTTCATTTCATGTAATATTTCGTTTGGTGATTAAAAGATGAAGAAAAAAATTGCCTGCTGTTGAAATTAAATAAAAATTTGCACAATACACGTGATTGATTTGATAGTTTCCAATTGAAATGTTAGAAAACGAATAACTTTTTTTTTACTTTTTTTGCACAATTTCACAGTGAACACAATGCCGGTTTGTCACATGAAATTAACTGTGAGCAGAGAACAATGAGTAGCAGTCAAACAAAAAACATTAATTTGTAGTACATGCTAAGTATCAGAAACGACGCTGTATGTGAAAAAAAAGTGTTTTCCTCTTTTCTGTTTAAATCTTTTTTCAATTTTCTTTGCTATAAACCTCACGGTGTCCGAGACCTTTCAAACGAATGCAAAATCGTCGAAATCGGTTCGTGCGTTCTGGAGTTATGTCGTCAGGAAAGAAAACCCGACTTATTTTTATATAATAGATTGAATAATTTACAGTATTGTCTAATATTATAAGACCGTACAGCACCTCGAAATACTCTAAAATTTTATTCAAAATGGAATTTAGTATTCTTTTTCAGCACTTTGATCGTTAATTGACTTGCAATATTTATTTAATAAATCTCTTGTGACTTTCAAACCATTCGTTTAACTCAAATGATATATTTTAGAAAATTGTTCAAAATTAAATAGTCTATAAAGTTTTCTAATAAAATAGTACACTATAGCAACTCGGTATACTCCAAAAACGCAATTTAATATACAACATGAATTTATTAACTCATTTATCTACTATGTTTCTGTTTCTAGTAACTTTTAAAGCACTCGATTAGTATGAATGGAGTACTTAAAAATTCTACTACTAAGTATGGGAAGTTATTTTAAGCTTTTTTTATAATAACGCCAGCAAGAATTGATCTCAAGATTTTTTGTACAAATCCGGTTTAAGGTTTTTTTGAGGTCCTAATTTAATAATTTTAGACCACCTGCAGGTCTATTGTGGTCGGGACAACATCTCAATTATATATATATATATATATATATATATATATACTAGCTGGCCCGGCAAACGTTTAGAAAATTTTCTAGAAATTTTTTAGTTTGATAAAAACTGATTGTGAATGCTTAATGTGTGGTATATAAGCGAAAGAGACAGCGAATAAATGGTTTACCCAGTGCAACGCAAGCATCATATAAAATTAAATGATATTTTGGAATTGTATGGCTTGCAGGAAGTTCGGACGAGCTCATTGAAACGTTAAAAACTTAAAAGAATATATATATATATATATATATATATATATATATATATATAAATTACTAAATAATAAGCGAAAGAAGCAGCTAACACAGGTTAAATGAATAGTTTACCCACTGCAATGCAAGCATCATATGAAATTAAATGATTATTTGAAATTGTATGGCTTAAAGGAAGTCCGGACGAGCTCATTGAATCGTTTAAAACCTAAAAAAATATATAAATTAAACTGCAGCGTTACATTTATATAGGCTGGTATAAAATTTAAATAAATTATATTATGCTATAATAATCTTATGGAAATAATTCTTGTTTGATAAATTTCGGAAATAAAAATTTGTAAGAATCATTGAAAATGTAAATGTTCTTAAATTTATTATTTTTGCAATTATTTTTATCATTTTTCTAACAAAAACTCAGAAAATAATTATAAATAAAAAACCCACACCAAATTAATAATAACTTTTTGAGAAAAAAGGGATGCTAGTAATAAGAAAAAAGTAAAATCATAAAAAATATATGTATAAATTTCCTCATTTCCTGTATTATTTATATATGTGTCTGTTAAGATAGGATTTTAATAAATGATGTTTTGACCCTTTTCAATTTTTTCTTTCAGTTTTTTTTATAAGTTTTGAGTCGATATTTATTTAATGCATTGTGAGTTCCTTTTCAAAGATAATTACTCGCATTAGTCCAAGACCATTCTTCTAAGAATTAATCTATGAAAGCATACACATAAATATATATATATATATATATATATATATATATACTAGTAAACCCTTGCATTAAGAATTAAAAATGTTTGGATGCTGTGATTTGTGTTATCATCAGTCTAAATTAACAAGAAATTTGGTTAATTTTATACTGATGATGGATAAAATTAGTGTCAAAACGTATGTAAGTTTTATGTTTTTATTAATTTAATTTAAATATATATATATATATATATATATATATAAATATATAAATATATATATATATTAAAATAAAAATAAAAATAAATAATATATTTTATTATAAAAAAGCTCATTCCAAACGAAGCATGTTGTCCGCTTGGAGTTTGTGTAACAAGTAAAAAACGTATGTTTTCTTAATAAAAACATTTTCTTTCAATAAAACTGTTTTTAATTACTGGATGGATGCCCAAGAACAATTTTACCATATATATATATATATATATATATATATATATATGTATATATATATGTATTATATATATATATATATATATATATATATTTAAAATAAATTATATAAACTTACGTCGTCTCCTCTTTTCCCCAATTGTAAAAAAATGCATTACTCTCATAAGTCCACAAAAATATTAGTAAAACCTGAAAAAATTATAGGTTTAATATTATTAATATATTATATATAAATACAAAATTTATTAATATCCATCATAAATAATGAAAATTACTTAAATTTAAAATAGAACAAACAAAAATGAAAAATAAATAAAAACTTGAATAAAATATTATGAACAGATAATAAAATAAGATTCAAGGATTCAAGTATTTAATCTAAATAAAGAAATCATAAAAAGTTATTAAAAAAATACTAAAATAAATTTAAAACATATTAAAATATTAAAAAATATTGATCAATAATTTAATAAAATTTTAGATGATAAACAGAACATAAAATAAATAGAATAAAAAAATAATAAAATAAATTCTAAGTTTTTTAAGTAACAAAATAATTAATAAATCTAAACTTTTGAATAAAAAATAAAATTTTGAATAATAAATAAAATTAAAAGAATTATTAAAAATAATAAAATAAATTTAAAACAAATTAAAATATTAAAAGAAAAAATCAATAATTAATATAATATTAGAGTGTAAGTCAATATATACAAAGAAAAATAAATTTAAATTTATTTTATTAAATTTAAAACGTATACAAAATAAAAATAAACATATAAAAAAGTACAAAATAAAATAAACATATAAAAAACATATTAAAAAAATGAAATAAAATAATATGTAATAAAAATATTAAAAATTGCAGAAAAAGTAAAAAATATACAGTAAATAAATTAAAAATAGAATAAAAAAATAAATATTTAAAATTAAATTAAAACGAAATTATTTTTAAACAAAAAAATAGAATAAAAAAATAATATTAAATAACTTGTAATAAATATAAACATATTAAAAATATATGAATAAATAATAAATACAAAATACATATATATTAAACTAATAATAATAATTATAAAAACAACTCACCTCGATAAAATGTTTATAGATCATATTTTCTCCAACTATTTACAAATTAATTATCAATAAAAATAAATAAACATTTAAATATTAAACAATAATCAAAAATAAAATAATATTATCAACAGACTATTAATTTCTCTCTCCGTTTCGATCGGAGACAAGGACTAAACTAATCCGAAATAGTTGCCGGTCTCGATTTTTATAATCAGGTAACACGGCATTCCATGCAAGGGGGCCCCCCGAAAAAAAATTTATTACACCGAAAAAATATCTCGAAAAATAGAAAAAAAATATAAAGTGATGCTTTAATCCTTTTCGAAGCCCTAACGCCCTAATATCTAAATATGTGGATACATACATACGTAGATTGGTGGATAGGGGAGGTTGGTGGTATTGTGCATACTTATAGAGATAAATTTTAGTTCTAAAGATTTATTTTGTATAATAGAAACAGAAACTAGTGGTGCATGGCATCTTGCTTTAAGGCAAATTGCCTTTTGAACCATTCAAATCGGATGCTTAGTTCTCTCAAAAACTACAATTTTTTGCATATTTAGCTCCGTATCTCCGAAACGGCTGGACCTTTCTCTTCCAAAGACTAACCACCACTTCTCCTCATCATTACGAATTGAATGTTTTTTGAATCATTCAAATCGGTTGCTCCGTTCTCTCAAAAACTCGAGTTCTATTTTCTGCACGCTTTGCTCTGTAACTCCAAAAACGGCTGGACCGACCTTTGCCAAAGACTAACCACCACTTCTACCCATCATTACAAATTGAATGTTTTTTGAATCATTCAAATCGGATGGTCTGTTCTCTCAAAAACTCGATTTATATTTTCTGCACCCTTTGTTCTGTAACTCCAAAACGTCTGGACCGATCTGGAACGAATCAGCACGTCTTCTCGTCATTACAAATTGAATGTTTTTTGAATCATTCAAATCGGATGGACTGTTCTCTCAAAATCTCGATTTCTGGACCGACTTTTGCCAAAATCTAATCAGCACGTCTCCTTATCAATAGGAATCGATTGCTTTTTGAATCAATCTAATCGGTTGATCCATGTTACTGAAAACGTAGACGATGGTATTTTATCTCAAAAACTTTATTTCTATTTTCTGCACTCTTTGTTCTGTACTAACTCCAAAACGACTGGACCTGTCTCTGCCAAAGACTAATCACAACTTCTCCTCATCATTACGAATTGAATGTTTTTTGAATCATTCAAATTCAAATTCAAATCGATTGCTTTTTGAATCGTTCAAATCGGATGCTCCGTTCTCAAAAATCGATTAAAATTTCTGCACTCTTTGCTTTGTAACTCCAGAATGGCCGGACCGACTTCTGCCAAAAACTAATCAGCACATCTCTCTATCAATAGGAATCGATTGCTTTTTGAATCATTCTAATCGGTTGATCCGTGCTACCGAAAACGTGGACAAAAAATTGTATCCACACATACACACACACATTCTTTCTAAGATATGCCAAATGTTCAGAAACGTCTAAAACGTTACGATATGCAAAAAATTAAAAATTTTAATAAAATAAAACAAGAAAAATGTACAGATAATATTAAAAAATTTAAAGAAGTAATAGAATTTATGGAAATATTAAATTATTGTCAAAAATATAAAAATAACACTAAATATTATTAACAAAGTAAAAAAAAACATTTGTGAAAGTAAAAAATAATAAAATTAAATAATTCAAACAAATTAAATTAAATAATCAAAACAAACAAATTAGATTTATTAATTATTCCAGATATTAGAAAATATTAAAATTTGAAAAAAAAATATATGATAAAAACATACTTTTATCAAGATTTCAAAACTTTTTTTTCAAGTTCCGTACCAAAATAACAAAATATACAAAATTTCGTTCAAAAACGACTTTAAAAAAAACTTAGGAACCAGTTTTTAAAAAATATACTAAATTTCGTTAAAAACCCACATTAAAAAAAAACTTAGGAACCAATTCTTCGATAAAATAGAAATATTGTTTTGACAACGCTTTGTTACAGACTTTTCTTCATATAAAATGGTACTAAAAACTGTCAAATGCTAAGTATTTGCTGTACATCAGGCGTTTCGCACATAAAACCTAACCTACAAAACGCAAACCGGCAATTAACAATTTTATAAAAAGTGCAACTTTCTGATGTCTCTTGGATAACATATACGTGAAGTTAGGATCTATGCAAATACATAGCTTTTTGACAGTTGTTACTACCAGCTCATACGAAGATAGACCCGTAAAATAGTGGTACTTTAACATTTCTATTTTATCGGAGAATTGATTTCTAAACTAACGATTTTAAAAAGTTGTAGAAGATATTACATTAAGTATCCACCTCAGTTTTCCGTTCAAAAATAAATCTTTAAAATTATTTGCAATATTTTTCTATTAATAAGTTATTCTAGTTTCCATAAAAAAATTAATAAACCTTCTAGATTTTTGTGAACAAATTTAAAAAATATTATATTATGTATCCACCTCAGTGTTCCTTTAGTTTTTAAATAAAATTACTTTAAATTTCAAAACTATTCCATCATAAATCTACCTCAGTGTTCCCTACAAATATACACAAAAAATCTTAAATATAATGTTATAGATACATATTTATATATAATAAATTATCCCAGTTTCGCCCCCGACTCCCCTATAAACATAAAGGAATTTATCTAGGCAATTACATTATAAATTCAACAATAAAAAAATACAGGAATTATCTGGAAGCCATTCATTTTGTTTTCTGACTTCTTTAAAACATTAAATAAAAAAAGTAACGACGCGCCGTTAAAGCTCGGGTTCCGTACCAAGGTAAAATATTATTTTTAGAGTATACCGAGTTGTAGAACGGTAAATGTTATAGATAATTTAATTTTATACGAGTTTAAAAGTCATGAACGTATTCCATGCCGATTTTAGAGTATACCGCGTCGCTCTAGGGACTTTTGATGTAAGTAAAAGTTGTAGATTATTTAATTCTAAACAAATTTCTCATATGCATCATTCATATTAATCGAATGGTTTAAAAGTTACAAGAGATTTAGTAAATGAATATGCAATAACTAGTTACAAGTCATTTTAAAACTATAAGACTAATTCAACATTTTGTTTTAAATTTGAGATTTTAGGGTATACCGAGTTGCTCTAGAGACTTCTGGTGTTAGCAAAAGTTGTAGATTATTTAATTTTAAACAAATTTATTATATGCATCATTCATATTAATCGAATGGTTTAAAAGTTACAAGAGATTTAGCAAATGAATGCATTAACGAGTTATAAGTCATATTAAAACTATAAGACTAATTCAACATTTTGTTTTAAATTGAGATTTTAGGGTATACCGAGTTGCTGTAGAGACTTTTTATGTTAGTAAAAGTTGTAGATTATTTAATTTTATATGAATTTCTCATATGCATCATTCTTATTAATCGAATGGTTTAAAAGTTACTACGAGATTTAGTAAATGAATGCACCTAGTTACAAGTCACTTTAGAACTAATTCAACATTTTGATTTAAATTGAGATTTTAGAGTATACCAAGTAGCTGTAGGGACTTATAATATTAGATTATTTACTTGTACTAATTTACCGAAAATTTTATGAATTTTAAACATACGGTTCATAAAAAGTTACAAAATATTACTATCTTTAACTGAGTAAAAAAACAAAAAAATCATTTTAGGTTTCATTCTTCATTTATTCTTGATGTATTATTTATATATAATGAATTATTTATATTATATTATTAATAATGATTAATCAAAATTAAATCTTCGTCCACCATCAAATCTGTAACCATAGGCTGCAGCATTTTTTGCATCAACCAGGGCCGGATTTCGGTATTTAAAGAAGCTGCCATGGTTGTGAGAGGCCCTATATAAATAAATACATATATCCATATATATACGTACACATATATACGTGGTCTGTTCAAAAAGTACCCGGAATTACTAATAATTAAATTTCGCGGTCTGGAGTGTCTGATTGTCAAAATTTTTTTTTATTGTGTTGGTATACATGCCCCTAAAGTATGATGAAATTTTCAGCTATATTCACTGTTTACTTGTCTGTGGTAGTCGCTAAGTTCGACGTGTTTTTCTGAGCTCGGCGATTTTTACAATGGAAGAATTGAAAAGTCAAAGAATTTGTATTAAATTTTGCGTAAAAAATGAATAAAGTGTTGCAAAGTGCAAAAATTCACCAGATATGGCTCCGTGTGACTTTTCCTATTCCAAAGTTGAAGAGACCCATGAAAGGACGGCGGTTTTCCTCGATTGAAGAAAATCACTGAGAGTGCTCAAGGACATATCAAAAAGTGAATATCAAGGGTGCTTCGAAAATTGGAAAAAAACGCTGGCATAAGTGTATTATATCTGGGGGGACTACTTTGAAGGGGACCCACATATGTAGACGAATAAATAAAAGATTTTTTGAAAAAAACGAAAATTCAGGGTACTTTTTGAACAGACCAAGTATATATATATATATATATATATATATATA